TATATATATATATATATATATATATATATATATATTCCTTAAAATATAACAATGACCAGGGTTCTCTAATCCGGCTGAAGGATAAGGTTATTTCCTAACATTTATGAAACTCTTAAGGCAGTGAAATCATCCTGTCCTTAGTAAAAAGTCTGACCCTGGGCATATTCTTTTCAACCTGCCAGCTGATCTGTGAGGATGATGATCTTTGGATCATACTAAAACTTGTTACATACTGCAAGAACCAAGATGTTTTTATTTGTTCTGAGTTTGGCAAGAATGAATGGATGGACGGACGGGCGGACACACAGACAGAAACACAGACTTTAGAGGACCTAATGATAAACAAGCTTTCAGTCAATCTTTAAATCCTTTCTTGTGTTTGATCCACTTCCAGGGATCACTGTGCCCCTTGGTCTATTCAGTAAAGGAGGAAAATCACCCATTTTTTTTATATGAGGTCATATACCATAATCTTTACTTTCTACTACTAAAACATTTTATAACACATTTTATCATTGTAGCACAACATTCTTTACTGAGAGATCATTGCATAATCCCTCTAAATAACCCTGTGTCTTAGATTTTTGCTTCACCGAACCTCTTATTTTGCTTGTGTGAATTAGCTGAGAAATGAAATGACCATATTGTAATGTAAATTCCTTGTCAAATAAACTCTGTGTCAATTTGGCCACCAACAAGTTTTTAAACCAACAAGTTGTTTATAGATACAGTGAAAGGATTAGCCTACTTATTTTAATTAATAAGGTCTACCAACTTTTTTCTTGAGAATTTCCTGGTGTTTCAAGTAGTTCTCACCATGTAGTATTGAAAGGTTCTCAGGGCCTTTTGCAAAAATAAAAAAACAGATCATCCACTGTAATCACCAGGGATAGATTTGGAAAGAAATTATCACAATTTCTCAAAATGAGAGTATATGCATTGAGAAATATTAAAATTCATAACAGATGTTTTGATTACTGCTGTAAAGTGTTATAAATTAGTATTACTGAAAATACTGGTTTGCAAATGCAAAATTGAATTATTTTATTATTTTCTGAATCTACATTATGTATCATTCTATGAGTAAGTATCTGCACAGTATAATTTGATTTGTTTTCTCTTTCTGTCTTATATATTCAAACCCAGAATTTTTCCTGGAGCTTCTGGAGAACACAGAGCGGTCCCTGAATGAGATGTTCGTGAGGACTTACGGCAAGCCTTACATGCAGAACGCTGAAGTTTTTGAGAACCTGTTTGCAGAGCTCAAGCGATACTACACAGGAGGAAACGTTAATCTGGAGGAAATGCTTAATGATTTTTGGTCTCGGCTGCTGGAGCGCATGTTCACGCTGCTAAACTCCCAGTATGTCATCACTGAAGACTATCTGGAGTGTATCAGCAAGTACACAGATGAGCTGAAGCCATTTGGAGATGTGCCCAGGAAGCTCAAGGCTCAGGTTACTCGTGCATTCATCGCTGCACGCACATTCGTCCAGGGGCTTTCTGTAGGCCGGGAAGTGGCCCAGAGAGTGTCGAAGGTAAAATTTCTTAGCAGTTCAACTTCATTAAAATATTATTTTAATTAAGTAAAAAAATGTCTTTAAAACAAACTGTGAATTTGATCTAGGTTTCCCTATTCAGGGGGAAAATATTTAGCATGTGACCTCAAATGAAATTAAAACTTCCTCCCGAAAAATCTGAAAGACTTCCTTTTCCTTGCTATACTCTTTCTGAGTAATGCATGCTCTTCATGTAGTCATCTTCAGGAAATGAAAGGCTCAAAGGAGCCCGTTCTGTCACTGTCTAGAAAACTGGTTTGAAGGTTATGTGAATTTCTCAGGAGAGATGCCCTGACAACGAAAGTGAAGAGAAAAGCATTTCTGCTATCACAGTTTATTGCTCTCTCGCCTAATATTTGTTCACACGGCATATACAAGCCATTAATCATGCTGTTGCAGTCATTTTCAGTTTGATGCAATATAATGTTGGTGCTGCAGTCTGGGAATTGATACAGCTCTCATCACGTACAAAGTTAGGTAAAATGAAAAGCAAAAGGCTAAACCTTGGCTATAGTCACATTCAGCAACAACAAAGCTGTTTCTAAAAGCCCTCTTAAGGATAGGAAGAGGCGATGATTTCTCAAGCGATTCTGTTTACTTTTTTCTCCCTGTAATCGCTTTAATTCAATTATCAGCCCTATGAGTAATAATAATAGAGTCTCTGTACAGCTGAAGTAGAAGCCCATGGAAATATTGTAATCCTCAACTATGAGAGACAGATAGAATAGAGGAAGCAGATATTCTCCTCTCCTCCACAAGATCCATTCATTTCAGGCTGTCCTCACTGTGCACTCCCTGAACCTAAAAGATATTTCCCTTCGCTTCAGCTTACCTCCCTTCTACAGTAACAGTGGTTAGGCTCATTTTGAAGCTGTCGCACAGGATGCGTTGTTAGCACGTGTTTACTGGGTTACACCCTGCTCCTCTTCCATGCCAGCATGTCCCAACTTCACCTCTTGACATTTCGGTGGTACCCTGAGATCCGGGTCAGATGTCTGGGACTGCAGCTCTTTGATCCACTGTGTATAAACTCATCATGACGGATTGAGGGAACATGTAATGAAAAGAGACACCCTGCTGGAGGCGACTGTTTCACGTTGCCACCAAGACTGGAAAGCTATGCTCATTTCTGCAGAGATGTGAAATACACTGAATTAAAAATGGTAAAGTTGAAATTATATTTCCCTTTCTGCTCCAAAATTGAGACGTATAATTCATTGACGGTCACATAAACTGCAGCTACATTTCAAATAGGGCTTAACAAAGCATGCATGCAGCTTTATCTTTAAAATGTTTTTCTTCTTACAACTGATAATATATTTTCTTTAGATTTAGTGTTTTTACACCTTCAGAAAGAAGTGATTTATTGACGCCCACTAAAATAAGAAAAACAGGATCCCACCATGATTTACCATTATGGTACATTCAGAGTGATGAGTTTTTTGTTTGTCAATTTTCTGTGACAAAGATCTCAGAAACTTCTTCAGGGTTTTTATTGGCCTCTTGGCTGCTTTCCAGAAAAGTACCTTTCTTGATGTCAGTTTCACCCCTGGTCTATCTGCTGCGTTTCTTGGTTTTATGAAGCTGTTGTTTTTTTTTTATGTTTTCTAACAAACCCCTAAGGCCATAAATGAACAGCTGGAGTTACGCGCTATCAGAATAAGAGACACAACAATTATAAAATTTTTATTTGTACAGTTTTGAAAAGCATTCATCTTTTTCAAACCACCTCACATTTAAGTTACTTTTTGGTTTTCAATTATTGTTTATTTAAAATAGCAATAAAAAAAACTAAAGAAAACATGTTATGATGCAATGAAGGGCAAGATTTTCTTTAATTCCTCTTGAGTTAATAATAATTATTGAATAATTACAAATATTATCACAATACGAAGTGCAAATTGTTTAAATAAGGACCAAAAATGTATCCTGCTTTTCTTGTGTTCTTTAGAACAATGGAATTTGTTATAAGGTATTAGTTAAAAAAAAAATTCAAAATTTTCAGTTAACTAAATTAAATCTGTGCTTTTGAAATCTTGTTGATTTTATCAAAAACTTGTATCTATAAAAAGCAATGTTATTGAACAGTGTACCCTACAAACTATGAAGTAATAGTACATACATCCAAACAAAAAGTCAAATCATCCTGATCCTTTTTAAGACATTTGGTTGCAGGTAAAATGCACTAATCACAAGTTTCAAACTTCAAAATAAGCATAAAATGTTTTCGGTCATAGCATCTTGATTTATATGTCGCAGCTAATACACGCAACGGTGGAAGTAAGAAATAAGAATCATTTCCTTTCCCATTTAGTTATGTCCCAGTGTTTTTTTAATCTGTTTTATTAGAAAACTTTAATTTAAAAGAATAGGTGCAACTATATACAGTGAGCAAAAAGGATAATCAAACACTATCATTAGTTTACAGAAAAGCCCAAGAAAAACATCAAAAACTCATTGCAAACCCATTTCAACAAAAAAATACTTTCCCTCTCAATTATTCACAGAGGAAAAAAATAATGTTTATGCACTCAGATTCATCAGATTGTCCAGTCTTGAAAATATTCACATTTTTTAAACAGTCCAAAAATGTCCTGTGAAAGTTGTTTGTCGATGTGTTCACGGGGATGGACGTCTGTGTCTTCGGCAGGCAATGTTAATAATGTCATAGCTTGTTAATCTTGAAACAAAACAACGATTCATTCAAATAAAACACAAGCATATGAAGCTTTTTTCTCTGAATCACTGGGAATGATTAGAAAAACACAAGCATATTTAAATATTCTCCAGATCATTGGAAGACAGGATCTATACAGAAATCCAAGTAAAACAAAGCATATTGTGTTTCTAAGCCACATTCTTACTTGTATTATTTTGTTAATAACCATTGCTCATCTCCAGGTTTCCAACCTCAAACCTCTTGAAGACTTTATACATATAAAAAAAGATATAAGATTAATTTAAATATTTTTTTTTATGTAATGGATTCATTTTTCAGATTTCTTTATTGCTTAATCCATTTGATAACTATAATTACAGTATTCAGGAGGTTTGTTCCCGTGTTTAAAATTGTTTCTCTTTGATGGTGTCAGCACTTTTTAAAAATTATTTATTTTGATTTACATTGAAATGTTTAAAACATCTGAGTTTAGATTAAACACTGGTTTTAATAGAGCTAATATTTATTATGTCTCTTTCTTATCCACATTTGTTTTAAATTTTTCTAATGTGATGTTAAGGGCAGCGAAGACACCTTATGACCGTAAGACATTAAACCGAGGGCATGGGCTATACCATCGATCATATCATTATCGCACTTTCAGCAGTTCTAGTATCCTATTGTCAGAACGTTTTTTTTTTCTATGTCAAGAGGAGTAAACAAAACACTCTCTCCAGCTGTTCATTCTGAGGGAACAGTACGTTAGTTGTTGCATTGCATTTATCTGGTGTGAGTCCTACCCTGGGATGTTTCTGCTTAGAATGAACAGCTATAGACCAAGAATAGATGGGTGTTTAACTTCAGCCTCTATTGGGGTTTTGTTAGCTTCCCAGAAGCTTTTTATCTTTGTGCATGTCCATTTAACACCACTCAATGATTTTAAATGTTCAGTTTTGACCATGCTTCCTAGAAAGTCACATGACCTTGACATAGAAAGCATTAGCTAAATCCTTCTTATCTATTGTATAGGCATTCACATGGAATAGAAATTTGACCAACCCAGACTACTACAAGTAAATTACTGTAGCAGAAAACAAAAGCTAAATTAGTGTCACTACTTGTATTTGTATCTCTTCCCTCTGAGAAATTAAGAACTCGTAATATGTAGCCGTTCCTTTTAAATTTTTAAAAGAACAACACAAAGATAGAAGCACAGCAGATTTTTAAAAGCTTAGAAATGCTGAATAATAAGCTGAAACAGTTGTTGTGTTTTGGTCATTTTCTCTTTGTTAGTAAAAGTTAGGAAAACAAATGTTATGTGCAGCTTAGTGGTCTGGTAGAATCTGATTACCTAATTATTTGGCATGAAAGTTTTTGTATCACATTTGCAATGAATAATTGTCTTGCAGTTAGAATTTCACACAGAGAAATTACTAGTTGAAAGAACTGCTCACTCTAAAACCACCCTAATCCGTAAGTAAATCAGATTGATTTATGTGCATAAATAACCCTAAAATGGTCTAAAGTATACAATTTGGAAGCCTTTTGCTGCTTAACAATTCTAGCATTTTTTAAGCACAGAAGAGATTCTTTTTTTTTTTTTTTTTTTTAGAAAATTGGCTGATTGTATGAACTCCAAGCTTGATTGAAATCAGCTAATTGGAACCATTGCTTACCATTTATGCTGTAAGTGTTTGCTTTATTCTGACCCTCTAAAAAGACCAGATATGTGTAAATCCTGAAATTGTTACTATGGTGATCAGCCAGCCAGGGACAGCTTTTCATAAATGTAAAGAAAAAGTACTAAGGACGAGTTAAAGCACATGCAGGTCCTCTGACATTATTTAGAATAAAATGAAAAAGTTGGTATTTTCAATATTCAGTAATTCAATTTAATAAATATGTATTATAGTGATGATTATGTTACATCTGTTTCTTTAACAATTAGCACTCTACATATAAACCCTAAAAAACAGTACACACTATTTTTCTGTGTTTCTCTGGTTTAACATGCACACCATATGCTACACTGCAAAAAAAAAAAAAAAATCTCACTAAGTCCATTTGTCTCAAATAAGTATTTTTTTGCCAATTAAATAAGACTATATTTAGAATAAGAAAAAAAGCAACTGCAATCTCTTATACCAAATGCTTTAAATGTAGTTATTTTATTTGAAGGGTAAAAATACAAATTCTTTTGGCAGATCATCTTATTTGCCTACTCAAAGTTAGGATGAATACATTGATTTTAAGGAATTTAGACTAATTATTTGCAGTTTGAGGCTTTAGTCGTCACTGCAGCTGCACTGGGGCTGACTCTAGGCCCCTGGCCATTTACTGAATGGTCCTCCCATTTTCTTTATGCCCTACTTTTTATCCAGCTGCTTATGATTAAAGAACACTTGTGCCAAAAATTGTAGCTATCTCTCTTTTTTTTTTTACTTTTATTTTTGATTTTTTCATGGATTGCAATCCATTCATCCATATTTAAGAAGTGATATTTGGATAAAGTATAGGTAAATAGCTCTTTTCCAAACTACAACAATGCTAACTAGATTAACATTTTTTACTTAGCACTAAATTTGAAATTGTGTGGCATGAAGGATTTTGCTCTTCTCACTCATCATGCCTTTTTGAACAGATATCACTCTAAAGTTGAGCTATTCTCATGCACACTTCTTCAGTGGAAATTCTCTGGAGCATTTTTAGAAAACCTCTACTGAGTTTCAGTCCAGACTTTTCACACAGATGCTGTTCATGCATGTCCTTCAGAGGAGAGATTTTTTTTATTATTATTTTCCTGCATTGTATTTTTGGAAATACTTTCTCTCAAATCAATAAAAGAAGAAATACCTCTCTTTATGTATCAAACAAACACATTCGCACTAGAGAATCCTGATACATATTTATTTAAATAAATCCCGCTGTGTAGAAAAGGCTTATGTGTTCTGAAATTTTTACAACTTTTCTTTGTTTATGGATGAACAGCAAATAAAGTGAACAGCAATCTATGCACTTCCCATGATCTCAAGGCCTCACAGCTGAATGCACTGATAAATTGGAGAACACATTCATCTATCAGCGGATAATGATAAATAATAAAAAGGCTCTTTACCAAAAATATTTGCTGCCTGATGTATCTCAAATATTAATGTCCAGGTCTGAAATCTAGAAATATATGTGGAGTAAGAAATAAAATGTAAAAAAAGAGCAAGAGCCAAAGGCAACTGGGTACAAGCTTTAAGTTTCTACCTAAAATATTCTATTTCAAAGAGAAGCTGGAGAACCAACTGACCAGCATTTTAAAAGTGCTCTGTGATAAACATAGTCTACCTGTTAGTCACCACAATAAAAATAACCATTTGCTGAATAACTTTGAGACTTACATAATTCAGAGTAGCAACCAATGTATTGGTTGTGAAAACTTTTAATAGTGGTGAATGCAAGCAGCTGAAAGTCATAACTTTCTGCTCATAATCCCTCTGTGTTTAGCTGTCAAAGCTCCGTTCCCAAGCACACCGTCTTTCATAGCTCTGAAATTCTTTAAGTTTGTTTTTTCTCAGTTTCTCACAACAGACATTTTTTCCCTGAACTATGATTTTGAGTTAACTCTACATTTGATATTTTGTTGTCTATGAGCAGCAACACCTACGTTTCTGTAGATCAAGGTTGTTTTCTATTGCTGCTCTGCTTGAACATAAGCTAACCTCTTTTTTTTGTGGAGATTTTTTTTTTTAATTCCATTTAAAAACAACTTAAAAACAGATTTGTCTTTTCTTCACACTGTAGGATCTGTAGTTGCGTGGCTGTAAAATATGATGACATTTGCTCTTTATTGTTATCATCAGTCTCACAGAGCTTATCCAGAATTTAATGACAGCTTTTGAACTTTGTGTCCTTGCAGGTAAACAGCACACCAGCTTGTATACGAGCACTGACAAAAATGCTGTACTGCCCTTTTTGCCGTGGCATACCAGGAGTGAAACCCTGCAAGAATTACTGCCTTAATGTGATGAAGGGCTGCCTGGCAAATCAAGCTGATCTCGATCCAGAGTGGAACCAGTACATCGGTAGGTCAAACATATCAGCCATTAACATTTGTTCCTGCGGTTCTGTCAATTGCCTTTGAAACATTTACATCTGTTAATGAATGAACTTTTGAGTCTGCCGCTCTAAAATGTGGTTGAATTTAATTAACAAATGCAGAGGATGAAATTCTAAACTGATATACTGACAGTTTTTCAAAAAATGAGACACTTCTGGATTACATCTTCACTTTCAAAGCTACCTTTGTTACCCTTTTATTTAATTCTGCCTTTAGTTAATGGCAATAGCATTAATTGCTTTGAAGAAAATGTGGTATTGAAATGACATTGAATTTAATTCTATGAGATTGAATGGGAGGAAATTGCTGTGTTTTACCTCAATAACCCTAAAGGGTAAATATTCACATCTCATATTGACACTTTTTATACATTTATCATAAAAATAACAAGTTTTTTTTTTTTATTGTCTTTCATCAGTGTATTAACTCAAATTATACATTTGAGTAAATTTCCTTTGGAGAACAGATGGGATACCTCAGGATTTTAAGCTTTAGAGATACACAACTGATAAATAGCATAAAAAACATTCAATTATCAAGTTAGTCATTTTTATAGCAAGTTTCCTCAACTGATTTATAGTAGTTGTACTGCCTATAATGCTATAAGAATGTATGTGTTGAAGTATGTAAGAGTATTACAACTGGTATTGGGTTGTGTTGACATTTTACTTCAATATCACATCCACAAATCCCCATCTCAAAAGAGATATGAACAAGTTTCTGTTTTTTTTTCCGTCAGTCTTGTCTCAACTTTTTTCTGCATGAAGAAAAAAAAATATTCATGGGATTCTGCTCTCCTGCTGGGCTAAATGGTGACTGATTATAGGGAAGAACTGCGCCGCAGGGGAGTGTCAAGTTAACTGGAGAGCAGTTCAAAAGAAACTTGTCAGTTCAGGCGGAGAGAATACAAATATATATGTAATATTTAAACATTTGAAGAAGATTTGATAGAATGCTAAATGATTCTGTCAGATGGCCTTGCCCTGTTAACGGCTGAAACGATTTAACTGAGCTGTAGCAAGCTTGAGGATCAGTGGTTAAAAAGACAGAATTTTTACCCTACAAATAAAATACATATAGCATTTTAAAGCTCATTTTTTTTCAAAAAAGCATATTTTCCTAAACATTAATCGGATTGTACAGAAACATAGCTTTCCTGCCTATAGTAATAGCCACCTGTACAATATTCATAGTACATATTCACCTGCCAACTCTGTATACTGTGCTATTGTACATATCTGTAAAAACCCTATAGTAATATCCACCTGTATATTATATTCGATACATATCCAGCTGTAAATTTAGTTAGTTCATAACACTAGTTATTTATATATTATATTCATAGGACAAATCTATCAGTAAAATTCTGTTTATAATGGTATTCATCTCTATATTTATTCAGTAGAAACCCATGTCCTGTACTAATGGAACCAATTATTTATCCTGCACTTGCTGCTATTGCACTTCTAGTTAGACCTAAACTGAATTTGGTTGCCTTGTACCTGTACCTGTTAATGACAATAAAGTTGAATCTAATCTAATCTAATCTAATCTAGTCTAATATGTTATATGCACAACCTGCTCTTAAATTGCATAAAAAAAAAGAAAAAAAATTACATTATTTTACACATTTGTGCTCAAGAATGGGTTTTAGCTGTGATTACTACATACTTTTTTGAATTTTGTTTGTGATAATTCATTCATACTGTTTTTCTAAGGGAGAAAAAGCTGTTAAAATATATGTTCAGCAATTGAGATTAACGTTTTTGTGCTGAAAAAATTAGAAATAATTATTCAATAAACTATTCATCTTAACTGTATAAGCATACCTTAGATTAGATGCTAAGTAGTGGAGTATTTCTATGATAAGCTGATGTGCTTTTAAGGGATTCGTTGGTGTTTAATTCATTGCACTGCATAGAACCATAAATGTAACAGTATGACATACCTTTGATACTCTTATGCTGAATCTTTGCCAGCAAAGTGGGATGTTCCAGGCTGCTCTGGGAACTTTTTCAGTTTTCTGTGGATTTAGTCAGTCTCGCTTGCTTTCCTCTCCTCATGTAATCCCTCACTGACTCATTGATGCCGAGATCAGCGCTCTTTTGGGACCAGCCATCTGTTGAGGGATTTATTGTTCTTGTGAGTGGAAATAGTTCATTTCTGGCTGCATGTTTGGGGTCATTGTCAGGTTTAAAGAATAAATTAGGTCAAAATCAGATCATGATTCTGCTTGATGAAGTGATATATGAGTATTCAGAGCTCATCTAACTCTAAACTGTTTTTGTGCATTGCATGGGAACGGTAGAACTCCTTGGGTTGTACTTCAATTAAAATAATATTTAATTACTGTGGGAGAGATGAACTGCAACAGAGCCCCCATATTTCAGCTTTGTTTGTAGTTCATTAAATGTGCATCAGTAAATTAGCACATCACCCAGATTTATTGCAGTATTAGCAACACAGTGTAATCTTACATCTGACTACCTGATAGATGTGCGCACACACCTTTGAGCGGTTGTTTGTTGATGTCCCCTGAGTTAGATGCTGTTTTTTTCTGGCTGTCTTCATACAAGTTTCAGGTCAGTGCTGGTTCATACTTTCTCATCTCCAGGGACAGAATGGATCACTGAGTCAGAACTAACTCTGAAAGGTGGGAAAACAGCAAAGAATGGGAGCTGATTCTCCTTGAGGTCTGTCATTTTAGGTTAAGTTTTCTTTTTCTGTTTATTTTTTTCCATTTTTAAAGTAAAAATAGAGCTTTTAATAGCATTTGATTAGCTGTGATCTGGGAACAATAAGTAAAAGTATGATCAAAATGCATGAAAGCAGTAGACCAACTCTCCAAAGTTAATTACTGGAGGTTAAAAAGATTTTTACTTGGTTTCCACAACAATCGATACAAAAACATTTATTTTGCATTTTTACATTTCTTTGAAAAATAGTGTGTGGTTAGCAGCTGCGCTGTGGTAAGAGTTTACAAAAGGTTGAAAGATTGTCAGTTTTTGTTATTTCCCCTTGAAGCAGACACATAGTGGACCTAAACACAGAAGAACACCTCTATTATTAGATTTCAATTTTTTCTCTTATGTTTTGGTTCTGGTATTTCAGCAAGAGCATCAAATACAGGAATCAGACCTCACATCACCCTGAGCTAAACACACACAAAAAAAAAAAAAACGCACAATTTTGGGCTAAACCAAAATGTTTTGAAGCTGTGTTTTATCAAAAGAAAATAAATTATGTTTTTATTGTGTCTCTTACTGAACGGAGAAACCATGTTTGTTATGACTCCAGGAAAGGCATCGCTGTTTTCCTCTCCAGCCAATAGTATTTTGTGTTAGGCCAACCACTCTACACAGTCCCCACATATTTTGGCACCACTGTCACCCGTCTTGTCATGTTTTTTAGAAGTGCCGGCAGCACATATGTCACTGTCTGTAGATTTACAATTAAAACAAAATCCTCCCTGTAGCATTTTTTTTGGTTGTTCTAGACATTGTAGGAAACGTGTCAAAGCATTGTTGCTGTGCAAATCATGGTTCCATTATGCAACTATGTATTAGAGTTTGATAAGATTTTTCAATTATTTGATTCATTTGAATGATTATCTTTGTTTAAAAAAGTTAAAAACTTAAAATTTTATGCAAACTACAAAGTAAGTTCCCACTTGTTTTCTTTAGTGTAGTAATACGTATAAATTGCCACCTCCAGTATACATTTATTTACAATTATTTATTACTTTATTGCTTAAGGTTTACTATCTTACTTATTTATATAGTTATTAGGGCTGCAACAACGAATCGATAAAAATCGACTTTTAAAAGCGTTG